CTTAAATAGGCATCCTCAAAGAAAAATAAAAGGTAGGAAGTAGGGAAAACCCAAATCACAGCAGAGAAACTGGAAACTTGGTGAGGTTAAAAAAAAAAAAAGATATTTCGAGGAGAACCTTGCAGGGTATTCCAAAGTTCAATACAGATGGCCGCAGTGCCACGGAGGCAAAGATTCCATCCAGAAGCACTGAGATCTCTTGATGTGGTCACATGGGAGGGGCACCTGGGAAGGATGGGAAGGGTGATAGAGGGTGCTTCATGGGGGGTGTTCACACTCAGAGCAAGGCCTGGCCTGGAGGCCCCATGGCCCTGGAGCCTGGTGGGGTGGGTCAGAGCTTCTCTAGGTTTTCCTTCCTGCTCCATTCAGAAATCACAGATGGTGTATGGATTTCTTTCCTAACCTGGCTTTAATATCTCATTGACATTTTTGCTTTGAATTATACTTCACATTTTCTGTTCTTAAAAGAGCTCTAAAGACAGCATATTTGATTTCTGCCTCTCCCTCTCCCATTCCACACACTGAGGGTAACAAGAAAATGTTTCCCTACCTCTACACCAAAGCCATTTACAAGGCTTTGTACAGAAATTGGCTGAAGGGCACCATCCGAAGCCCATTTGGGCAGGTCTTGGTTAAGGTGGAGGTATTTGTCCTTACCTGTGACAGAGTGTCTGCTCATCTGTTACTTAAACCTGCATCAGCCTCTTTTAGAATGTGAGCTATTTCCTTGACGTCAGTTTAGATTTTTTTTAAAGATCATTACAGGTATGTGTTCTACCCAGTCTTGTCAGGTAGGAATTTCTTTGTCTGAATTGTTTATGTATCGTAGCAACATTAATAAATGTAATAAATTAATGAAAGTAAATCCTCTGGGACAGAGCAGGGGCCACCAGGCAATCTGGGCATAGACTTGGCTTTAAGTTCACTTTCTCTCAGGTGCTCCATCCCCCAAGCATATGTGCATGTGCACCACTCACACACACCTTTTAATCTTATAACAGATTTCTTCTTCATTAAAAAAAGAAAATGGTCAGGCTTGGTGGCTCACGTCTGTAATCCCAGGACTTTGGGAGGCCGAGGCAAGCAGATTGCTTGAACCCAGGAGTTCAAGACCAGCCTGGGCAACCTGGTGAAACCCCGTCTCTACAAAAAAATACAAAAATTAGCTGTATGTGGTGGTGCATGCCTGTAGTTCCAGCTCCCTGGGAGGTGGAGGTTGCAGTGAGCTGAGATCACACCACTGTACTCCAGCCTGGGTGACAGAAGGAGACCCTGTCTCCAAAAAAAAAAAAAAAAAAAAAAAAAAGATATATATGACACATTTATTTCAAACTTTTAGAGTTTAGCCAGAAGGTACTTACAGCACCTTTCACTGTAGTTTAAAACCCCCAGTCTGTTTTACAGCTTCTACCAGCCTGTTAGTCAATACTTTTCTCCATGTTTACCCCCTTAGCACACACACACTGTGAAAGTAACCACCATGGGCAGCTTCTAAAACATTTTGAGAAATGGATTCCTGAAAATGTGTGGGGATGTGGTGTCCTAGTGGGTCTGTGAGAAGTAGTCAGTCATGTAGAGGCCTCCCATGGGGACCTGCCCTCCCTGTGTGGGGTGTGGACAGCCAGGAATAAAGTGTGCAGTCATATTTGGTCTAGGGAGTAAAAACAGGTGACCACTACATCATCTCTCCAGAGTAGTATATATTTTCTGTTTAAATATGCTACTGATTTTTGCATTTTAAAACACATCCTGGTCAGAGGAGCCCAGCCTTGTCCTTGTATGCTTTTTACCATGTATAAGATACCGTGTCTGTCCTCATCGGCTGTTTCCTTCTGTATTGATGTCATTCAACAATCTCTCCATTCTTGCTCTGCTTAAAGACCTCACTTGTTATGAACTCGATGTATCAAGCACTGAGTTGGGCTCTGGAGATGGAGGCAGTGAGCACCCATGCCCTCCCCTGGTTGCATATGTTCCCGCAGCTGCCGCAGGGCTGTCCGTGTGGTACCTCCTTGCACGGTCATTCTGGCCCATGCATCTTGTTTCCTGGATCCTGTCATCTTCTTTACAGGTTTCTTTCCTCGTTAGAGGAACACATCCTTTAATAGCTTCCTGGGAAGGAATGAATGCAAGGTAAAATTGAGTCCTGAGTATCTGAACATCTTTCCCTCTACTCACTTGATGGATAGTTTGGGAAGAGAATTCTACACTGAGAATAATTTTCCACTCCTCCCACTTTTGAAGGCATTATTGTTCTTCAGCTTCCAGTGGTGTTATCTGTGTCCGGTGCCATTTCCATTTCTGATTATTTGTATATGCCCTTTTTCCTCCTCTTTGGAACTTTTTAGATTGCTTTATCCTGTAGTTTTTATACTGGATACTTTTATACTGTACTTTTTGTACTGGATACCTAGAGTTTAACCCAGGCACGTGACTCCCTTAATTCTGGATCCATTTTTTATATTGTTGTTTTCCCTCCTATGTGCTTTTTGTTCCTAGAATGATTACTTTTCTCTCCTGTTGTCTTTTTTTTATCGTTAATGATCTAGGGATTTCTTCAATTTTATCTTCAAACTCTACTCCTTTGTTTCACTGTTTTGTGTTTGGTTTCGAGGGTTTTTTCCTCTGATTTTTCATGTTTATAGTTTTCTGTTTTGGTTGCATGGATGCACTATCTTCCCTTTGACTATATTGTAGCTTTTTGTTGTTGTTGTTGAGTTTTTCTTCTGTTCACTGCATTGTTTCTGTTCCACCAAGGTTTTTTGCTTTTGTTTTGTTTCCATCATTCCCATTTGGAACCCTTTTTCAGCTGCCTGATGATCCTTGACTGTTGATTCTCATTTAAGAGTGAAGCATTGAGAAACTGACCAGAAGCTGTGTAGCTGAGGTTTTTAAAACTAGTATCTTTGCTGTAATGATCCAGCTTTTTGGTTGATGTTTTTGTTGGCAGACTCTAGGTATCTATGGTATCCAGAAAAGACTTCTGGACCTGGGCTTGCAGTGGTGCAGGCCTGTGGCAGTCCCTGAACAAGGGACCAATAGCTGCTTCAAGGTTTTAGAGCCTGCAACAAATCTTTCTAAACCTTTCTTCTCTTTGAGTCCTCATACTACATTTGCCACCTTATAGCCCTGCTGTTTGTACCCAAGAATCAGCCCAGCTGGAAAGTGAACAGTAAGGATGCTTTGGGCAGGAAGTTGATAAGGCTTCTTTTGTTGTGACCCACAGAAGGAGCAAAGTAAAAAAAAATAAGTTAACGTGGTTAATCCAAGCCTGGTGGCAGGGCCTATATCTTCATGTTGTTTGTATCTGGCCCGCCCATCCAGGGCTTGAAGGAATCCCGGCGCCAGTTGCTTACTGCCTTCTCTCAGCAAGCCCCAGGTTACTTCTTTGCTTCAGTTTACTTAAAACAAGAGTTTGAGATTTGCTTTCCTGTAGTTGATAGTAAAGTTGAGAGTAGGTAGCAGAAGAGGCATGTAAAATTCCATATAAAGTGTGCCCTGTGTGCTGCATGGGGGTCAGAGTTGGAGTTTCTCCTCCTAGCCTAGGGAGGCCCTGCTTCCCACCCCTGTAGAAAACCTGACCACCTTTTCTAATTAATTGTACAGTGGGGCAGGGATTTCAGTGGTAAGTCCATGTGTGCACCTCCCATGTGGGAAGCATAAGCAGTGTGGGAAGGAAAGTTGGAAACAGCGGCGGCACTTTGGAGAACCTGTAATTCCGCTCTAATTCTTGCTCTAAGACCAGACTCACAGGTGTCCAGGAGGTAAAGGTCAGCACTCCTCAGACCCCAGCTCTGTGCGGGGCCTGGCAGGCATGCCGGCTCCCTGTTTTCTTTTTACTTTATGAGAAAAAGAAATAAGGTATTAAAGTGCCAATTTATATTTCTCTACTATTATGGTAGTTGCAGTGGCTCAGGAAGGCAAATAAACCAGTCCGCCAGAATCCGCATCATCCCTTATCAAGAGTTAGTGTTTAACAGTATGAACAAAAACCCACCATGAACTTGAAACAGGACTAATTTACCAGATACCAACCTCAAATGCTTTCACTGAACATTTTTTGCAAACTATTACTCTACCTTCCAACAGGCTTTGTAAAAACGTTCATCTCCTTGCTCAGAGGTACTGAGGCATCAGGCACATTCCCTTCCTAACTTGAGGGAACCCATTTTGGCTGATGGCCCATAAGCTTATGGTGTCCCAAAACCTGCGCCACGGGGCGGAGGCAGAGTTGGTGGAATAGTGAGCCCTGTGCATCCTGCCTGTTTCCCATTTGCCAGCATTTTCTGAGCCCCCAGGCACCAAGCTCTGTGCTTGTGCCAGAGACCCCATGCTGAGCAAGCAGGCCCGCCCCTGCCTCCACAGAAGCCCTGGCAGCATGAAGAGGGCAGCGTGAAGAGGGTTTTCAGTGCTTGCTTCCAGAGACTTCACAGAGCCTTGTTGCATCCTGACAGCGTCCTTGCAGGGCCAGGCCTCCTCCTGCCCTGATTGGCTTTCCTTTCCCTTAGCTCCCTGGAAGAAGGGTAACCGTTCACTCAGGTTGTTTGCCTGGAGTTCTTCTGGCTCTCAGGAGGAAGTTTATTCCCATAGATAGAAGCCGCAGCGTCTGCTATTCAGGTCTTCAGCCAGGAACGCATGACTCTTTGGGCCCCTTTCACAGGCATAATGGGACGGAGGTGGCATTATCTTTCAGGCATGCTCATGTGGTGGCACCGTGATCTCAATTTTATACCTTTTCATTATGGGACAACTTTTTCATCATTCTGTTTGCCTGTAAAATTATATTGGCTAACCTTGGTTATTAACCCTTATTTTCTTAAGCGGTTTCTATGTATGAATTCTTCTAACCACATTGGGTTGCTGTTGATTTGGCCTTATCTAGGGCCTTTTGTGCGCTGTGGTCCATTCAGAAACATTTCTAATATTTGCGTTTTCTTTAGCATGTGCTGGCACTCAATCATAGAATACTAAATTTGTGATCTCTTTTTTTCCCGTAACAGATGCAGCAGCTTTTTTATGAGAATTATGAACAGAACAAAAAGGGGTACATTAGAGATCTCCATAACAGTAAAATTCACCAAGCTATCACATTACACCCCAACAAAAACCCACCCTACCAGTACAGGCTCCACAGCTACATGCTCAGCCGCAAGATCGCCGAGCTCCGCCATCGCACAATACAGCTGCACCGCGAGATTGTCCTGATGAGCAAATACAGCAACACAGAAATTCATAAAGAGGACCTCCAGCTGGGAATCCCGCCCTCCTTCATGAGGTTTCAGCCCCGCCAGCGAGAGGAAATTCTGGAATGGGAGTTTCTGACTGGAAAATACTTGTATTCGGCAGTTGACGGCCAGCCCCCTCGAAGAGGAATGGATTCCGCTCAGAGGGAAGCCTTGGACGACATTGTCATGCAGGTCATGGAGATGATCAATGCCAACGCCAAGACCAGAGGGCGCATCATTGACTTCAAGGAGATCCAGTACGGCTACCGCCGGGTAAACCCCATGTACGGGGCTGAGTACATCCTGGACCTGCTGCTTCTGTACAAAAAGCACAAAGGGAAGAAAATGACAGTCCCTGTGAGAAGGCACGCGTATTTACAGCAGACTTTCAGCAAGATCCAGTTTGTGGAGCATGAGGAGCTGGATGCACAGGAGTTGGCCAAGAGAATCAATCAGGAATCTGGATCCTTGTCCTTTCTCTCAAACTCCCTGAAGAAGCTTGTCCCCTTTCAGCTCCCTGGGTCGAAGAATGAGCACAAAGAACCCAAAGATAAAAAGATAAACATACTGATTCCTTTGTCTGGGCGTTTCGACATGTTTGTGAGATTTATGGGAAACTTTGAGAAGACGTGTCTTATCCCCAATCAGAACGTCAAGCTCGTGGTTCTGCTTTTCAATTCTGACTCCAACCCCGACAAGGCCAAACAAGTTGAACTGATGAGAGATTACCGCATTAAGTACCCTAAAGCCGACATGCAGATTTTGCCTGTGTCTGGAGAGTTTTCAAGAGCCCTGGCCCTGGAGGTAGGCTCTTCCCAGTTTAACAATGAATCTTTGCTCTTCTTCTGCGACGTCGACCTCGTATTTACTACAGAATTCCTTCAGCGATGTCGAGCAAATACAGTTCTGGGCCAACAAATATATTTTCCAATCATCTTCAGCCAGTATGACCCAAAGATTGTTTATAGTGGGAAAGTTCCCAGTGACAACCATTTTGCCTTTACTCAGAAAACTGGCTTCTGGAGAAACTATGGGTTTGGCATCACGTGTATTTATAAGGGAGATCTTGTCCGAGCTGGCGGCTTTGATGTTTCCATCCAAGGCTGGGGGCTGGAGGATGTGGACCTTTTCAACAAGGTTGTCCAGGCAGGTTTGAAGACGTTTAGGAGCCAAGAAGTAGGAGTAGTCCATGTCCACCATCCTGTCTTTTGTGATCCCAATCTTGACCCCAAACAGTACAAAATGTGCTTGGGGTCCAAAGCATCGACCTATGGGTCCACACAGCAGCTGGCTGAGATGTGGCTAGAAAAAAATGATCCAAGTTACAGTAAAAGCAGCAATAATAATGGCTCAGTGAGGACAGCCTAATGTCCAGCGTTGCTGGAAAAGACATTTTTAATTATCTAATTTATTTTTCAAAAATTTTTTGTATGATCAGTTTTTGAAGTCCGTATACAAGGATATATTTTACAAGTGGTTTTCTTACATAGGACTCCTTTAAGATTGAGCTTTCTGAACAAGAATGTGATCAATGTTTGCCTTTGAACACATCTTCTTGCTGAACATTATGTAGCAGACCTGCTTAACTCTGACTTGAAATGTACCTGGTGAACAAAATTTTTTACAGAAATGTTGTCTTTTGAGACCCTTTGCGCCAGTCCTATGGCAGAAAACGTGAACATTCCTGCAAAGTATTATTGTAACAAAACACTGTAACTCTGGTAAATGTTCTGTTGTGATTGTTAACATTCCACCGATTCTACCTTTTGTATTTTTTTTTTTTTTTTTACAATTGTTTTAAAGCCATTTCATGTTCCAGTTGTAAGATAAGGAAATGTGATAATAGCTGTTTCATCATTGTCTTCGGGAGAGCTTTCCAGAGTTGATCATTTCCCCTCAGTGGTACTCTGCTCAGCATGGCCACGTAGGTTTTTGGGTTTTTGGTTGGTTGGTTGGTTGTTTTATTTTATTTTTTATTTTTATTTTTTTGAGACAGAGTCTCACTCTGTCTCCCAGGCTGGAGTGCAGTGGCACAATCTCGGCTCACTTTAACCTCCACCTCCCTGGTTCAAGCAATTCCTCTGCCTCTGCCTCCCGAGTGGCTGGTATTTCAGGCACATACCACCTCGCCCGGCTAACTTTTTTGTATTTTCAGTAGAGATGAGGTTTCACCATGTTAGCCATACTGGTCACGAACTCCTGACCTCTGGCAGTCCACCCACCTGGGCTTCCTAAAGTGCTAGGGGTGAGCCACTACGCCCAGCTGGCCACGTAGGTTTTAAAACAAGGGGCATAAAGCAAGCACAGTGAGATATGTGGCCGTTTTCGTGGTAGTTCATTTGGCCTAAATGGACCTGGCATGAAATTTCAAGAAGGATTTGGCATTTTCTCTTCTTGACCCTTCTCTTTAAAGGGTATAATATTAATGTTTAGAATGACAAAGATGAATTATTACAATAAATCTGATGATGTACACAAACTGAAACACACATACATACCCCCTAATGAAAACATTGGGGAAAAATGTATTTGGTTTTGTTCCTTTCATCCTGTCTGTGTTAGGTGGGTGGAGATGGTTTTCATTCTTTCATTACTGTTTTGTTTGATCCTTTGTATCTGAAATACCTTTAATTTATTTAATATCTGTTGTTGAGAGCTCTGCCATTTCTTAAGTACCTGTTAGTATTATTTATGTGTATCAGGAGTGTGTTTAGTCTTTTATTTGCAGTAAACCGATCTCCAAAGATTTCCTTTTGGAAACGATATTTCCTTTCCTTAATTTTTATATTCCTTACTGTTTTACTAAATATTAAGTGTTCTTTGACAATTTTGGTGCTCATGTGTTTTGGGGACAAAAGTGAAATGAATCTGTCATTATACCAGAAAGTTAGTTTTTTAAACTCTCAGATCAAATGTGCCTTAATAAATTTTTTTTTTCATTTAGATTTCAAACAGTGATAGACTTGCCATTTTAATACACGTCATTGGAGATCTGCGTATTTGTAAATAGCCTGATGCTCATTTGGAAAAATAAACCAGTGAACAATATTTTTCTATTGTACTTTTCAGAACTGTTTTGTCTCATTATTCCTGTTTTAGCTGAAGAATTGTATTACATTTGGAGAGTAAAAAACTTAAACACAATTCATAAAGTTTTTCAAGTTATTTGAGGGAAATGCTTCTGTGGACTGCAGTTTGGGAGTGAAACGAAACCCAGATTCAAGTGCTTCCTTCTGTTTTTTCCTCGAATGAGCTCGTCCTTTGTTTGTTCCTCATCAACTCGCTGACTCCATGTTCTTCAAAACAAAGGTCTTCAAACCAGGCCCAGGCCCCATCTGGCTCCTTGATAGAAATGTCCCCTCCTAGGCCCCACAGAATCTGCATTTTAACAAGTGCCCCGCGTGGTGCTGCGGCACAATTCGGGGTTCCGGGATCAATCTAGCTAGAGGATAAATCAGCACAGTTGCAGTATAACCCAGGAATCAAAAGAAGTGAGATCTTTGATGCCAAGGTAGCAAGCTGGTGTGGACAAGCATTGCCCCCAGGACAGGTATATTTACAGTGTAATGACAGTTAAGTCCCAGCATAATGACATTGCACTCACAGAAAGAATTGCCGTAATTCAGCCTAATTGCCATTTACTCTGTGGGAGTGTTTAGTTTTTTCTTGGAGAAAAAGCAGAGACATTTTTATTCTTCGGTAAGGAAGAGCGTAATAATGCACCTTAATGACAAAGTATTATAAATTCTTTCCTATTTACCATAGTAACAGACGGGGGGGATTTTGGGATGTGGTTGAGTGACACGTTTGAGTGTTCATCCAGCATTTTGGTGACCCTTGGTTAAACCTGCCATTTCCTTCCCTGCTCCCACTCCTGATCAGGTCTATCCCTCTTCCCGATGGCGGTGTTGGTGTTCATGGAAGCACTGCCTCCTTTCCAGCCTCGGTTTCCAGAAACGCGGTGGGACCCCTCCTCTGGCTCCCCACCCTGGCAGTGGTGTGCCTGCACTCCACATGCTGGCCTCCAGGTTCCACTCGCCTCTCGGTCACCTGGTGCTCTTTTGCCCAGAGGGCAGACTCAACAGTTCCAATGGCACCTGGGTCCTCCTTAGCTTGGCTACTGTCCCTGCATCTCTCATCCCCCATTCTACAGGGCACCTCCTCCAGCCACTGGGCCCTATGACTGTGGGGCGTCCTTGTCTGTGGCCCTGGCGCACACTTTTCCCTCCATCTGGACAACCTGACTCCCCAGGACGCAGCTGAAACACCCCACTGTCCACTCTGCTGCCACCCTGGACCCTTCTGTGGGATGTGACAACAGCTGGACCTCCTGTGACCATGTGGCAGTATCTCCCTCACTAGAGCCCCTCAAGGAGGCCTGGGGCTCTTGTTCCTGCCAGTCCCCTGGCATGTTGGGAACCACACTGCCCTACTCCCTCAGTGCCCTCTCCACGTGTGCCTCATGCCATTGCACAGGCTGAGACCTGCGGCCCCTACTGGGCCTGGAAATAATCCCTACCCCCTGAAACTCAGGAAGCTTCCTACCTTACCCTTTCACTGTTGCTTCCTGTCGACTCCTGTGAACAGTATTTTAAAATTGTAGTGTGTAAGTATGGCCGAAGAAGGGGAGAAGGGCACAATCAAAAAAGCATGAAGAACCTCGCTCCTTTCTCCCAGCGCCAACTCAGGCCTTCCCACAAAGAGCCACCAAGTTTGTCCTGGCCAGGAAGGCAGAAGTATACGTATAGATGCATAGACAACATTTTTGAACTTTGCACACAAGTGAAAGGGAATTCCTTCTCTCTTGGGCACGGGGAGCCTCAGGGCAGAAGATGGACGTGGCTTCATGACCCATGTCATGGTGCATGGGGAGGGGTTGCCAGTGGGATCCTGGCCTTGTGGTTGGATGCCAGGGGCCCTGCCTGGAGTGGGACCAAGAGAGCCTTATGGGGCAGACAGCACTGGCAGACCAGGGGAATCTGCAGCTTGCTTCCAGAAGGCAGGTCACCTTCCCTGCACTGCTGCTCTAGGCTGGGATGAGACCGGAGCATGGATGTGGGCCTAGCATCCCAAGGTCTTCTGTGGAGGCGAGGCCATGTGTCCCAAGGTCTTGAGACAGTCCCTCTTGGTTGCAAAAGCAGGAAGGCCTCGGGAGCGAAGGCGGCACATTCCCTCCACTCCGGGATGGGAGGGCCAGGGAGGGCGTTTGTGAACTCGCAGCTTGGGCCCTTCAATAGTTCAGATAATGGAAGGAACTCTGACCCTCAGATGTCTCATCTTATTCCCGCCCCCGCCCCAAACACACCTTTGTGGCCTGCTGATAAGTTATTGAGGCCTGTAGGCAAAGTCTGTCTGAGCCCCTTCCTGCTATTTCACAAAGGCATCAAAGCCTAGGCCCTGACTGAGCCCAGAAGTGGACATGGGTTTCTTTCCCCCCAGACCAGCAGGCTCAGAGCGCTCACCGGCCATCTACATAGCAGTTGACCTAAGCAAAATGATCATCATATTTGCCTCCTTGCCATGCCCTTGAAGGATCACCTAGAGGTCTGGGTGTTCCTGCAGCCACCTCCATTCACTACTCAGTGTGTTCACCAAGTCAAATGTACACGCTAGTGAGTTACCAGCACCACAGTCCATCTTGTAAGGACAACACTTAGGTTATGGGAACCAGTAGCTTTCAGAGGCATTCTCTCAGCTGTTTAGGGTCTCGTTTCTCAAGACCATCCTCCAGGAAGGTGACACACCTACCTACTGCACTGAGGGGCTCCTGCCCAGGCCCCGGGTGGCAAGGTTTCCTCTTGTGCCCTCATCACAGAGGAAGCCAAGGGCGAGCTCTCGCTGTGCCTGCACAGACGCCTGCCCTGGGGTATTAGGCTGCATTACTGCTATATAACTTGCTGTAATCTCTGCTGCAAAGGAGCTTATGTGCTTCAGCTGGAGCGGGGGTGGTCTGTCAGCTCAAGCAGCTGCACAGGGCTGCTACCTGCCGCGGTGGGTCCCGCTGTGCTTGCTAAACCCTTGAAAGATGGCCCCTTCTGTTCTGCTTGAAATGAAAATGCTTGCACCAAATCTGCTTAGTCTAACTTGTTATAAATGCAATGAAAATGTAAAGGTTACAATGCAATGGATCAAATTACAGTGACTCATTTTGAATGGCTTCCAGTAGAAAGCAGATGCTTCAGAGTTCGGTTTGGTTTTCTGCAGGGGTGTAGGGGTGAGAGAGGGAGTGTAGATCTTCACCGGAAACCATCGCGTCAAACAGATTAGGGGATGGCTTGTCATCAGTACAGTTAAAACACTTAAATGTCTTTGTCAGATATTTCTTAATACATTTAATTTACCATTCATGGTATTTCAGTTATGAGGGTCTTCATTTCTTACTAATATAGACAAAAATGAAATGTCCTTTAAAGAACATTCTAGCTACATTTTCTTTAAAACTGTAAGAGTAGTCGGTTATGCCTGACTGCTTTTTAATGAGAAAATATAATAAGAAATTGATCAAATCACTTAATAGCAAAGTGGTTGGGCAAACTCTGGAAAATGCTTAAATGAAGCTGGCTTATCTGTAATGAATTCTCCATCACAATTAAGTCGGCGATGCTCCGGGGCTGCCACTGCCCCCTTCCCCTTGCCAGTTTGCCACGACTCATCCCCTTGGCTCATGCCACAGCCCTCCACATGCCTCGCTCGCTGCTCTACATGTGACCCTACTGGAGAAAAGAAATGCTTCTAGCCAAGCCTCAGAGCCACCTCTGTGTT